GTTGGTCGAATCTGTGGGGAAAGCTGCCCCCAAAAGTTCTTTTCGAAGACTGCAGCTGTTCCAAGACTCAGAAACAGGGGCTGCAATGCAGTGACTCAAAGAGATGTGTTTTGCCCGTAGGCAGTGCTTTTCACGAAGCTTCTTCCAACTAGTAGCACCTCAGTTTCTCTTCAGTTTCGCCGTCCAGACGTCATAGTCAAGCAATGGAGAAACGCCATTGGTCAGATCATTTGGATTAAGAGAAAAGCTCCTATTTCTGTGTAGTTTGGCATGTCAGCACTTGTTTGCCTCATCCATTGTGAGCTTTTACAGACCGCACCGACTCCCATGGCAGGACACATGGGTACTTCTTTTGCAGCCGTGACAACAAGCTGCAAATTGAGAATGGGGGCTCAAAATGTGGCAATTCACGGGTGTGGAGTGGATTTCCACTTGTCACCCACTCTGCATGCGATGCTTGATTTGCCGCACTTAGACTGCGACTGTGATGTGCCATTGTCTCATCCATGAAGAGTTGTCAAGATTCCAGAGTACATGCGGGATGCAGCTGAGATTGTAAAGCTCCCTTAATTTCAAGATTTTCAAGACGCTTCCCAACTTGAGAACGTGTGGCTGTGTGTGTATTAAGTTTACAGAGGCCGCGTGGCCCACAACATGACAACATGTGCTTTGTGGTTAGTTGGCTTTGAGTTGTGCAGCCATGTTCCCATGTGTAGCTATTGCCTGATGTTTTGAATGCACCTAGATCCTCCACCAACTCCTCCAACGATGTTTTCATGGCGCAAACTGCTGGCTGATTCAATGGAAGTGCAGGCCTCGGCATGGCTTTGAGCCGTAGGCCCTACGATACAGCTGTCCTTTGACGCAGCGGTCCAGTTCATGGTGCGTATTATCGCTTCCTTCCTTTCCTCTACTGAGAGCCAACATCATGAGACAAAGACAGGTCTATGCTTTTGTGGTATTGGAAGACTTGCCTGCTGAGCAATTCATCAACAGCCTTCGCATATTTCATAAGGGCTTTGGGCCGGAAAAGTCGACCAAAACCTCTGTTTATAGTCCTTCGACAAGTTGGAGGTCTTTGCCACAAGGACCAACTTTCGGACGACAGTGCTGCTTCAAGCCCAAAACCTTGTGCATTGTCCACTGGGGAGGTCTTGCAAGCACCATTTGTGGTGGAAATTCCGAGTCAGATGCCTGGAGTTTTGATGACTTTTGTCCCATGCGGATTTTGAGGTGATACCACTTTCCTGGTGCAGTGGAGTCAGCCCAAACTTCACAATGGCAGTTTTGCAGTGCGCAAGCCCCAGCTTTATCAAGTGTGCACAGCAAACTTCAAAGCACATTCGGAGTCCAGACACCTTGCTGTTGGCTACATGACACTATCGTATATTGGCAGCCAGAGTCAATGGGCTTTGATTTCGGGACGAGTCTTCCATTGTGTTCCTACTGCCTTGTGTCTTGAACACCTGATTCCTCCAAGTGTGAAAATCTCTCAAAGTTTGTTTGTCCATCGATGCATATTCCATGGATGTGAGACCAGTGCAGTGTCAAGCCCCCGCTTTGTGCCTCAATTTTCAGGGCTGTTCCAATGAAAGAGCAAATGGGCCGCCATGCACGGACCAGTCAGATGTGTCCTATCCAGAGGGGATGTGCTGGTCATCTAATGAAGTTTGCCATACCACAGCTGTCCTTTAAAGATATATTCCATGTGATAGTGCCGATCATCGTTTTTTTCCTTCCCTTTTCTGAACCGGAACCCCATGAGCGTCAGGTGGGAACGTTTCTGCAGTGACACTGCTCGAACTCGGATTGAAAGACCCGCCTGTCCAGTGAATCTACAACTCCAACAGCTGCATAGTGCAAGAGTTATTTATACTGCATTTCTTGGACAGTGTCAAAGACCCGCAAAGATCCAAATTTTCGACAATAATGCTACCACCTGCAAGCCTCATGTGTCAACTGCTTGAAAGGTCTTGCGGTGCTTAAAGTTCGAATAGAATTTGGTGAATACCTCAGTGCTCCCAGACACACTGCTGAGCACATCAACGGAACTCTCTGACTACAAGGTTAGGGACACTTGACACTATCGTATATTGGCAGCCAGAGTCAATGGGCTTTGATTTCGGGACGAGTCTTCCATTGTGTTCCTACTGCCTTGTGTCTTGAACACCTGATTCCTCCAAGTGTGAAAGCATACTCCATGGATGTGAGACCTGTGCTGTGTCACTCCGCGAAATGTCCTGCAGATTGGGATGAACTTTGGCAAAATCTTGAATGTTGCAAGCATGTTGACTGTAGTCACCAGGCTACACTAGAATGTCCCGGAAATCGCCAAGCCGCATCATTGATCCATTGATTATTGTTTCGGCACAATCCAGGACCACGGACACTGAGTTGTGAGCATCGGTGTCAGTGGTGGACAGGCAAGTTCCCAAAGCTGACTTCCAGCTGCAACCGTTGCTTTGTTTTGAACCGCTGATCCAGGATTTGCTCAGAGCATCAATGGCACGTCAAGCTGTAACAAGTTCCAGAATCCATTTCGGTCGACCGGAAAAAAAGTCTCTGGCTCTCTTTCGAAAATTTCTCGATCTGTGCCACGTGGACATTTGGGAAGATGGTGCTTAAGCACGGTCAGCCTCGGTATGGCTGTGTCCAGTGCAAGGCTTGGCCGGGGAACATTTACCACAAGATGTCTAGAGTCTTTATGGCCTTGGTTTCAAAAGGAGTTACGTATCACAGCTGCGCTTCACCGCAATGAAGTTGCCCCTGTGGCTGGGCGTGCTTTCTGACTTTCTGCTGTGGGGCAAAGTGCACAACGCGAGGAGGACGAGGTCATTAGTGAGAGCACAAACGGTGTGCAAAGGCCGCCGACAGGGCATTTTTTGTCCACACGGTGCCGATGCTTCTGTTTGTTGCTCCAGCTGCGCAAGCTGAGCTGACAAAGCTACGGCGGGATTTGTCGTACGAATTTCCGGCTAGTAGCCCAACAAAAGGAAATGATGGAAATGGGTGGGCTTGTGTCGCCAAGAGACGCGAAGTCTCATGTCTTCGACGAAGAACTTCCAAGTTGTTGAATGACAAGTGGTGACAAGAAAGAAACAAGTGAAGACAGTGAAGACTGTGGCAGTATGACAAACATACCGCTATGGGACATTTTTGAGCTTTTGCAAATATCGATGAAAAAATGTGCACGCATGGTCTTGCTGATGAAACTTTGAGGGGAGTGGGATGCATGCAAAGTGTTGACATGGTTCGCATTGCTGATTTTCGGTTAGATATGGGCATCTGTACCTCGTTGGATTCTTATCTGCCAATTACACCATTATTGGTCCGTATGGGGTTGTCTCAGAATCAGGATTTCCAAAGTCAGTTTTCCATGGATGATGATATTTTTCCCTACTAGTAAGGCATTTTCGAATTAGTCCCCATTAGGAGACATCTTGGCAAAGTCTGCAACAGGCAAACTCATGGGGATTTTGATCCAGGAATGGTGTGGAGATGTGTGGGGCATAGCTAGTAATTAATGACGAAAGCTAGCTTTTGCCAGCTGAAGTCCCTCTTGCTTTAGCAAAATACTGGGGTGGCTGGAATCTCCAATCGTGTGAAACTTCTCAGTTAACTACCCCCGCCCCCTGGCTGGTTCACAAGCAGTTTGGCTGTGGCTCAATCCCCCCCGGGACACTGTCGGCATGTCGCCACCCTACCTCTCATCCTCAACTTTGGTTTTGCACTGTGTTACTTTTTCCCGCACTTCCAAAGGTGCACTCCGATGCCGAAGGTGGACCTTTGAATCTTCTCCAATCACTGGTCATCATGTTGACTATGCTGAATTTCCTCATCCTCTTCATGCAACAGTACATAATCATATGACCATTTGTCAAAAATAGTTGTTTAGAAGTTTAGTATTGGTTGTTGATAATTCATCTGGGTATACTGTTTTTTCGACTTCGTTATGATGCGGCACGCAACTAAATTCAGCAATTCTGCAAGGCAGCGCTAGCAAACCCGCTAGGTTTGCGCTAGGTTTGATTGACAGCCATGGCCTCCATGTCGTGAATGTCTTGCCAGCTTTTCTTACAAGTCTGTCAGTTTCCACATATTCCCAAATTCTCGATTTTTTTTTACGTATTTTACGCGCTAGATCGCCGCTAGCAACGCGCTAGCGAAAATTGCAAATACATGCCCCGGTCCACCCGCAGCCCATTCAGAGGCAGAGCCATGTTCACGCTTTGGTAACTTACAGTAAGGAAACAGCGTTGATCAGGAGGCATGTCAAGAAGCATATTGCATTCAGAGAGGCACATACACAGAGACACACAGTTCAGGAGATAGTACCAGCGACAGCGAATGAAAACCGACGTGCGTTAGCCGATTCCTGTGGTTTTAGAAAGATTTCCAAAGCTAACGAAGAATTTCCACGTTTTCACGTCATCAAGGTAGGTCATGTTTTTTAAAGGCAAACATGAGGCGGCACGCATGGAATTGCGATTTATCAACAAAACCGGGAACAGACATTTTGACAAACCATCATATGTTCTCATCCTCGTCCCCTTCAACATACATCGCCTCAATACGTAGGTCTGGATGTTTGCTTTGCCAACACGCTCCAGCTTCAGACCCACTCGTCCACGTTGACGAAAAAGCTGCGCAGCTGCGCTGTGCCCTTTGTGTTTTCATGCCATGCTCCCTGCCAAGCTAGCTTTCGTCCTTTACCCCCGGGCTTCAAGTAGACATGAATGTACCTCCAGTCAAGTGAGGGGAAATAATGCGGGTATCGCGTGTGATAGCGAGGGCATCACCGACATTGTACAATGTGCGGGTCCAAAGTGGATATAAAATAACCCCCATCTTGGGACCCCAAAACAGACACTTCCAATACCAAATCAGGTTTCGAAGGGGGTATTTGATATATTTTAGTACAGGAGGATGGGATTAGGAAATGTATGTCGACTTTGTACATGACAGGTGCTCGCAAGGCCTTTTGATCAAAACTCCAACGGTTGCATGGGACAGGCGTTCGCATGACAGGGATTGCGTTGGGTGTTTGTATGCCCAGATTTGCGCTGGCTGTTGTTTCCACAGCCAGTGCTTCATTGTCGCCAGATGCGAATTACTTGCCATGTATGCTACAGCTAGATGTTTCCATGACAGACAGGTGTGGGCGATTGTTGGAGGAACGTTGTGATCCCAGTGCCAACTTTCCATGCAGCAACAATTGCCCGATTCACACGCATGGTGCTGATTGCTATCGGCCCATCCCAGAGGTGATGGCGGAACACCCAGGTGTTGACGGATACTGTTACTTCAATGCCACGGCATTTTGGCTGGTCTACCCAGGTCAAATGACAATGGTGGAAGCTGCCAATGATGCCATCAAGACCATCAGGGGAGCTGATTACCAGGGAGACAGCAGAGGTATGCCCATCCACTATAGGCTGGCTGATGATGCTGGCGAGGCTAGTGAGGAAATCACCATATGGAGCCATATGGATTCCGCACACTATTTGTACGATGACCTTTACGGCTACTCCTTGGGGGTCCTACAGGGCCAAGGCTTAGACACCCAGCAGATGTTCAACAGCACAAGCTGGACAGCAAGGTCACAGGAGATGTGCGCCCACATCCAGCGAACCTATCAATTCTCCAAGGAGGAACTGGTCTTGGCTGATGCCCTTGATGGAAATCAAGCTCTCGTCGCTTGGACCAAAAAATGGTTGTTTTTCCCTGGAGCTGGGCACTGTCAAAATTGGCGTCATTTTGATGCTTTTTTGTGGCCTTTGAAGCAAGTGAGCATGGGCTCAACAGCTATGGTTTATGATGTTTATAACATTTTATAACTATATATAATAATACTACTATTACTACTATTATTGTTATTTTTACTACTATCATTATTATTATTATTACTATTATTATTATTATTATTTTTTTTTAAATGTTTTATTATTATTAAGCAACGAGCTTAGAACCGGGGTTTCAGCCCAGATCCTAGGCTGTGCGAACGTCCTGCGCTGCGGGCTTGCCAGCGCCTGGCAGCACTGTGCAGTCCGTGCTGGACATGGCAGGCTGGCGCAGCCCGACGTCCTGCAGGCCGATCTCACGAAGAGATTTTGCCAAGCATCACTACGTGAAGCTTAGATTGAGAGCGTGGATGCACACGTTTTTTTAAAAATTATTTCAGATCACTAAATTTTGGTGATATATTGATACACTATACACTTTTACATCTATAAGTTGTGTAAAAATATGTGATATATTGATACCCTTAAATATACATCTATAAACTGTATGTGTAGATATGAATATATGTACTTCTTAGTATGTTGGTGCTGTTTTGGCAGATTTTTGAGGGTTGTTGGGTAGACATTGTAGACATGGTTGGTGAAATGGTGATGGTACGCTCCAAACTTTCGCGTCGGATAACCCTTGGAGGAACTTGTGAACCGGGGGTTTTGACCGTTGAACTGGCTGAGCAGTTTCAAAACCTTTTGGTTGATGATTAGAGGGGGTTGTATTGCCCAATGTAGTGCGGATTATAAAAATCCATTTCGGGAATCTTCATTGATTCATTCGGCAGCCCCGACTCGGGACTTTCCAATGGGTTTTTGGCACTGCTCATTGAAGGAAATGCTCACTGGGATTCCGAAATTCGGCTATGGACATGGCCTACTTACACAGCCGAGCTTGTCTGTTAGAGGGAAACCGGATAGGACACCTTTCAGAATGCCCATATTCCCCAGACTTGACGTGACATTGTGAGAAGTTCATCGCCACTGGCACGCAATGGGGGCTCTCATGAGTCTAAAGGCTCTCATGAGTCATGAGTAGATTCCAATGATTTGTGTTTACCTTCGTTGCAAACATGTGAGATGACCTGGCTTTCAGCAGTTGGAAAACAAAATGCTGATGCGAATCTCGCAACCCCGTTGCGCGAAGGGCCACATGCACACAGGTTTTATTAGGGCTGTATGGTTTGAAAGATTTGCTTAGGATTTGTGGCTGGGTTGATTTTCAAAGGGTTTGAGTGCTTGTGGAATTGTCTGATACACCGGACACCAGACTCATCATAATTCAATCATGTTTTCATGTTTTGTTTTTTCCAGAAAATGCCGCCGTGCTACCACAAGTCAAATGCTGACAACCAATTTCTGGCTCACGGTCAGCACCAAACCAGTTCCAAAAGGTCAAACCGATAAATCTGATAAAATGAACCAGTGTCCTTTCACTCATGGAGATGAATCACAAGTGGGTTACGACCAAATAGACAGCAATTCTCAGTTCTCTTTTGACTGTAACGTGAGCGTTAATGGGTGTGTGATCTCGTGGCAGGATGCGGACCATTGTCAGTTAAATGATTTGCTGCATCAATCTTGTGGAACGATTCTCAGGTTCATCAATCTTGAACTATCTCATTGAGCCAACAAGCATCGGTCCTTTCATTTTCTCACATACACATTTCAAATGGGTAGAAACAACACCTTGAAAACCATTGAAGTCTGCATTTCAAACATTTTCAATCTAACTTCAAGAAGGTTCGTGGGCTAAAAATTGCCGGGCCACTTCCTGCTCCATGGCATGGGTGCAGCTCTCAGTCTTACCGAGATTTTGGAAACTTCGACTCGTCGGCAACGAAGCCCCAAGGCTTTCTACGGACGTCGTTGACAGCTTTGGAGGCCCAGCATTCGGGGGGTCAGACAGGTTACGAATGTTTTTTTTGCAACAGACATATGGGGGATTTAAGCAACCGGAATGGAGGTCAAACATCAAAAATTCGATGTTTAACTAACAGAACCGGGGGAGTGAACGATAAAAAATGGGAGGTTTCGCCAAAAAATGATGATGTAAATCCAGGGATGAGACGTCGACGAGAGAATCAAGCATCAAACATGGAACCACCGCTAAGGTGAAACTGTCGATGAAATCATGATGGATAGTAGGCATAGGGTATCTGCCTCAAGGAAAAAATAGAAAACATATTCTCCATCACAGTTGCTAAATTGTGTGAGTTCCAAACGGAGGCGATGGCTTAGAGTGATTTATCAGCAACGCCACGCCGTGCCCCGCAGCTGTTGTTCGCTTCGTGGGTCGCGTCGCGTCGCGTCGTTCGAAACGATGACCTCGTCGTTGTATCCAAAGGTGCCGCTGGACAAGCGGCCGGACTTCTACAAGATCCTGAGTGTGGCAGGCTCCAGGGCGTAGATTCGTAGATGATGTGGCTTTCCAGTGACAGACATCAGTGACCATAGTGACCCAGATTTCATCAGTGACCCACAAATCTCGGGGGGGTTCTTACCCAGTCGAAACATGTCGAAACTGGAAATCGCCGCGGAGCCGAGGCTTGTACACGATCATCTCTGGGATGATCAATGGTCCGCTCCTCAGTTCGATTTCGATTTGCACACAGTCGGAGTTGATCCAACCTATTGCGGCTTGAACAACTGCCATAGTTCACCTTATTTGGCCATAGTACACCATAGTTCACCGACAATTTTTCGCATCATTTTCCAGATTTTTTTCCCCATCATTTTCCATAATTTTTTCCCATCATTTTCCATAATTTTTTCGCATCATTTTCCATAATTTTTTCGCATCATTTTCCATAATTTTTTCGCATCATTCCACCCAAAAAGATGGGCATCAGGAATTGCGGTGGTGGAGTTAACTACCCCTGTGGGCTACACCTCTGGAGGCTGTGTCAACGCAGGCGCGTGTGTGCGCGTGGTGGTTTTTGAATGGGGAAAACGGAGGTTTAAGCATCCAGAAATAGGGATTTCATGGGAATATGAACGGAATTTCATGGGAACATAGGATAATCTATGGTCAATAGATGGTTAAGATTGGGTTTTAATGGGATAGTCATGGGAAAATGATGGGAACATGATGGTTTTTCATGGAATAGAATAGCTTAGTCTGAAAATAGGCTACCTCCAATTCCAATGGTTTTCATGGTAAAAAAAATCATGTTCCCTATAAACACGACCATTTGGACATGAAAATAGGGTAATTTGGCACATAGTGAAAATTTGCCATTTATTTTCATGTTCCCCATAAAAATATAACCTATTTTCAGACAAACCCAGATACCCTCGAGTTATCAGTGGCACATATAGTGAACTGGAAAATCCACTCTAAATATGATGTGAAATTAGCTGGGAAAATGATCTATAACTGGTAGACTCTCCCTGGGAATTTGGCGTAGCGAACTGAAAAAGCACAATTTTTCATAGGTAAATATCATCATAAATCATATATACATGGGCCATCTATACCATAGCTATGTCAAATAACTAGAGGTAACAGTTGGGCGTATTGATGATTGACTAAACTATCCATCCAAGATGTCCAAGTTTTTTAACCCAATGATTGAGAAACCCGTATTTTTTTGATAGTTTAACCGTTTAAAAACCCCTATATTTTGTGGGGAAACCTGACATCATTTGACATCTCTCGTGTTTTCATTGGATGAAACAAAACCAGCCAAGGCCAAATGATTGTATCGTTAGGAAGTGTTAGGAGGCTCATTTATATAAGGAGGTGATTTCCACCATGATTCATGGTAGGTTTTAAATTCATTCTTGTTAGTGGTTATTGTTTTTTTGGGACACTCGATGGTGATGAGGCTTACGGCAATTTTCAGAAATACCCAGTTGGTATCTTATTTGCAAAGTCTCATGGATTTTTTGTTGAGATTGCTCTCTGCAGAGTTTTGGTACGATTTAACAGTGGCCATTTCCTAGATTGAAGCGGTGAAAAAACGGACACAAAGTGACAATTCCTGGCATACCCGCAATACTCATTTCGGCTTGGGAAACCTAACCTTTTTGTAGCATGGTGGTTGTGCGACCAGGGCCCTCCCATGTAACTTGACAGAGGGATTGTTTCTACGTCTGTTTTTTGGTTGTTTTCTGGTGGATGAAGCAGTTTTCAAGCTAAGAAACTTCATCCCTGGCCAGATTTTGCGAGGCCAGTTTTGTCCGAAGTGGCTACCCAATTCGATCCACTGGTTAATCATCAATCATTAGATCGCCAGAAATAGGTCCTGACCCGCATTTTCCAACATTTTTAGAGACATCAATATCAAGTTGGTTACCTCATCCCAGTCCGATCTGTACATCCCAAATTGCTTCATCCCACAGTGCTGCTGGTCCAGGCCGCTTTTATGCCGCTGGGGACATGAAGCAGGGCTCCAAAGTCCTAGCGATGTGTACGCTTTACTACGCCGGAGGCGACGGATGGATGGATGTGTTTCTTAAGAAAGCAGCCCCTACGCATACAGAAGTTAGGAATAGTTTGGATGTAAATCCGGAATCAACTCAGATAGACGTTTTCAGGATCTTCTTGGAGTTGCAAGGCTGAATCGGACACCGCGACAGGTTTTGTTCGGGCCTTGGGCCTTGGGCCTTGACCCTTTGATTCTTGGGTTGACACTGTAGCAACGCCCAAAAAGATCGAATAGTAGAATGAATGCACATCTAAAATAGTGATGTTTATCACTTCTATGTTTGAGTTTTACCCACAGTAAACAGCCTGGCATTGGTTCACTCCCTGAATTTTGTATCTGTTGGACCTTGGACGCCAGGCATCCTAGCAGGTGTTTGGCCCAAGGGCTGTGATGGCGACCTGGTCTTCGAAGGCAAGACTTCCCCAGGCCGGAGCTTGGGGGAAGTCAGGGCAGCCATGGAGCTTTCCGAAGTCATGGGGGCGACCATTTATACAATGTGGGGCCCCCCAGTTATAAGTTGGTTTATAAGCCCCAGCAACTATAGTTATACTGTAAGTACCATAAACTATATTTATTGGAGTTATAAACCAACTTAGCTATCGAACGGGGGCCTCACATTGTAGCGTGAAAACCCATAGTGACTTGGGGATCCTAAGAAACCAAATCAATGCACTGGGATTGGTTTTGAGGTGCCAGACATTTTGGTGCTTCTGTAAGCAGTTGAGAACCCTTACGCCTCTGAACAGACCTCCTTGAGGCAGAATGTGCCCTAAAGCAGGGTGATCCCATACATAGTCCACTTAGATTCATGGAATCTCCCCAGTTACATCCATACCATATCTATCTCTACATATATATATATATATATAATATAATATCATTCTAGTTCAATGATTTCCATATATCCCCAGTTGCAAAAACATCGAATAGCAACATCTATTCTCCACTTAAACATAGAATGTGATCTTAGTCCACCAGTGATCACATCCCTTGCCGTCCCGTCGCCATCGAGGCATGTTGCTCTCCTCGTTGCTGGTCCTACTGGGCATCTGGCTGAAACGGCACCGCGAGCGGCCCACCCTGGCCATGCAGTGCTGGGCCCTGTCGCAGGGGCTGATGCGCCTTGGAATTGATCCATGGGGATTGTGAGGTTCAACATCATTGAATTGAAGGGATTGATCATCTTGCCATTTTGGAAGAAACAGCTTCATTTTGGATTGCATTTCATCACCCTTTTTGGATTGGATGTTACTAAGTTCTGCATGTCTTTTTGAGTTGAGTCAATAAGATAAACCTGGTTGGTGGTTTGGAACATATCCCAACTGACGAACTCCATCATTTTTCAGAGGGGTAGGGTTGAAACCACCAACCAGATACTCATTCAAAATCAAGGGGATCATTATTAACCATTTTTAACCATTATTAACCATTATGAACCATTATTTTCTCAACAATCGAAGTTCCACCACTCAAAAAGAGGAGTTTCCCAGCGAACGAAACCTCCATTGAGAGGGTTTAGGGTTTGTCCAACTAGCAATGTTTGCTGACACCGGATAAACCTAATTGTTGGTTATATATATAATATATATATAATATACAATATAATATATATAATATACAATATAATATATATAGTATATAATATAATATATTTATATAATATATATATGTATCTACGGCCCCGGTAGTTAAGATGCATAACGTACTGTTTTGTTTCCTCAGTGTTCAGTTCAAGCTGTAGATGATTTGTACCCTTTGCCATACTTTCGTTGGTAGTCCCTGTGCAGTGTGTCGCACATACTCTCGAATAGGGTACCTCATTGGCGTGCAGCGGCTGGGCGCTGAACAAGAAGCCCGAGCTCTCCAGGTGCTGCGGGATTGCTGCGGTGCTGTCACTGACCTCGTGGAGACCAAGATCCGCGCTGCGCCGCCGAGTGCCGCTGCCAACGAGGGTGGAAACCCTTTGAGCGAGGGCAAGGGCCCTTTGACAAAGGAGGAGGAAGAAGACCAGGAGGAAAAGATCAGGGAGGACAAAAAGAAGCCCCTTAGCGTCAAGGAAGAGGTCAAGACCGAGAAAGATAAGAAAAAGAGGAAGAAAAAGACTGAGGCCGAGGCGGGAGTAGAGGAGACTCCTGAGAAGAGTGGAAGCGCCAAGATCAAAAAGACAAAGGAGGAACATCGAGAAGGAGAACTCGGAGGCGGAGGTGCAAGCTCAGGATCAAGAGGTCCAGCTGTTGGAGAAGAGGCCGAGGAGCTTCAGGAGAGGATCGACTCCTTTGCGTGCAGCAACCCGGGTCCCTTTGAACTTGGCACTTTGCCAGTCCGAGGGAGTGTGGGCAGACACTTTGCAGAGTCGGAAGAAGATAGGAGGAGGTCAACCCGGCCGGCTGAGCCTGTAGGGCCACCCCCTGGTAGACACGACGAGCCTCCACGGAGGCAGCCCTCTGGGGAACGGAGGGGAAAGAAGAACAAAGGGCAGACTCACCGCGACAGAGGCCGTGAGTGGAGGAGGCGCCATTGGTCGTAGCCATGGCTCCGAAGGCAAAGCCCAAAGCAAAGGCGAAGGGAGGGGCCAAAGCGTTGGCCAAGGCAAAAGCCAGAGTTCGCCCCCCTGGCGGGTTGAGGAGACCTGCACATCGGGGGGGGGAACCAGGAAGAGAGGAGACAGGAGAGAAGTGGAGAAAGGGGGAAGAGATCCCAGCTTGGAAGGCGCCCTTGTTGGAGCTGGGACGAGGAGTCCGGGTGGTGTGCACAAAGGCCTTATACTACCACCAGGAGTGCAAGGTAGCGGGGGCCATCACTGGGCTGGAAGTTCAGGAGGGCGAGACGGTCCTCCTGCTACAGCTGCGTGGGACCACCCACGAGGGACTTCTCAAACTGCACAGCTCTGGACCCCTACAGGAGTTCAGGCTTCATCTGTGCCGTCCAGGCTGCAACCAGGAGGAGGTGTCGGATTTCCTCATCCATGCCCTGCAGATGCGGCTAGAGCAGGAGGAGGCAGCAGAGGAAGGATGGGCTACCAACCTTCAGAAGGTGCAACCTGCAGAGGGGACCGACGATTTGGCGGGGCTCCGAGAGAGGCAACAGAAGCTAGGAGTAGAGGCAGAGAGAACTGCTGTGGAGAAGAAAGAGAAATCAAAGAAGACAAAAAAGAAAAGAAGGAAAAAAAGGAGAAGAGAGAGAAGAAGGAAAGGCTAGGTTTGGCCGTGGAGAGCAGCGGGTCATCGGAGGAGGTGGCTCTCGACGGGAGCCGTGCCCGCCTGGCGGCCAGGAAATCCCTGATAGCCCTTTTTGCGGGGACTGGCCTCGATCCCAAGGAGAAGATCAGGCGCCGGGTATCCCAGAAGGCACGACGAGCAGTCAAGAAGCGAGGAAAGAGGAGCTCAGACAGCAGCTCAGGAGGAAGCAGCGGGTCGACAGAGGATATGGGGCCCGAAGCCGGAGAAGAAGGAGTTTTTCAGCAGGAGTCAAAGGTGAGACTGGTGGCAGCGTCCCAACCGGGAGCCCTAGCTGCTCAGGCTTTGACGCACATGAGAGGACTTCTCCTCTCCGAGATTGGCCACAACGACCAACCAGGCCTCTTGAAGGCGTGTGCAGTAGCCTATTACAGACAGTGCCTTCAACGCCGGAGCACTGGTCCAGCTCAAAGAGAGCTCCTGACAATTTGCTCGGCTGTGGACGCAGCCATGAGTGGGAACGTGGCAGGATGCCTGGACATCCTGCTGCAAAGATTGAAGTCAGCGGAAAGCACTTTGTCGGGAACGCACTGGTCGGTCAGCCAACGACTGGAAATCTTGCCCCAAGACCAGGCAAGTTTGACCCCTCTCCAAGAGATGTCAAGTGCAAGAAAGGACGTCTACGAGCAGTCTCGTCTGAAGTGGCTCGCGAGCCAGCCGGACGGTCGCACTGGAGGGGGAGGATCGAAGGGAAGTGGCAAGACCAAATCAGACAGCAAGGATGGAGCCAAAGGAGGAGATCGAGGTCGCAGATTCGGCAAAGGGACCCCTTTGAAGGGCGAGGGGAACAAGAAAGGGAAGGAGGACGGCGCCCCGAAAGCTTGAGAGAGGGGCTGCAGAAAGAGACGAGGGTGGACACCCTTGATACCACTATGAAGGATCAGGCAACTCCAGCAAGTGGGGCTTATGAAGAGGGGTCGGCATTGGCCCTCTGCCCTGGTAGTTACCCCATGCCTGATCCTGCTGCGCTAGCGGACGCTATGGTGGCCGCAGATGAGGCGTGGCAAACATTGCATGCGGCTGCCTCGAAGTTGGGCGTCGAGAATTTGAATGCCAAGTCGCGGGACGATGGCGCCTGCGCTGCTGCTGCGGACGGCATAGCCCTTGAACTAACGGCTGATGCTTTTTCGTCCGAGGTGAAAAAAGACGCTGATGATTTTCCGAGGGGAAAGTTTTTAGGGGACTGTGGTGACTTCCTATGCGCTAGGCTCCTTGAGGTTTTATCACTTCGCAGCCAGCCCATGGGTAAAGGGGATAAGAAGGCAATTTTCCCTTTACCTACCTCTAGGAGTGAGCTCGGAAAAGTTTTTCCCACAGTGTGTGAACGCGATTTGTCATGGTTGCTCTGTGTTGTACGGAGTTTGAACTCTATGTGGGGGGGATGCCTTGAGAGTCATCAACCTGTGAAAGATTGTCAAAAGGAGTGTTTGAAATTTATTTTCGATGATGTGAGACGGTTCTGCTCTTTGGACGCGCATCTGGAGATTCTGGATTGGTCGGAGTTTTTCAAGGTCAGGTCAATAGACTACAAAGGAGATGAAGTCAAGGTGGCTCAGTCCTTTTCTTGGAAAAACATCAGCCCTGCACTGCCGCGAGAGATAGGGCGAGTCCCTCTCTCTGAGGTGTGCACACAGGGTTCTAGACACTATGTCACTAACTTCGACCTCTATCTTAAACCCCCTTCTGAATGGAAGCTGGTGAAACCCCCAAGAGTGATGGTCCGTGATGAGCACTGGGCTGCAGTATGCCGGGGTTTGCTGGATTGCGGGATATGCACTTTGCTGGAAGAGAGTGAAGTTTTCGATACGGGCCAGGGCCCGTTGTTGAACGGGCTGTTCGGAGTGAGTAAAGAGGATTGGACAAGTGATGGGACTGAGATCCTGCGTCTCATAATGAATCTTATCCCTTTAAATTCACTGTGCATGCCCATGGCCGGTGACATTGATACGTTACCGTCATGGTCAGGCATGTCACCGTTTTTCCTGCAGCCCTCTCAGCAACTCCTGATCAGTAGCGAGGACGTAAAGTGTTTCTTTTATACACTTGCTGTTCGTTGGGTCAAATTTCTTGCTTTTAACAAAGAGGTTCCGGAAAGTGTTCTGCCGGCGGACTTGAAGGGACGCACGGTGTACCTCGCGGCGCAGGTGCTCCCAATGGGGTTCCTTAACTCCGTTAGTCTGGCCCAACATGTTCATAGGAACCTGGTCTTGAACTCAGGGAGTGAAGCAGAGAGTCGGGAGGTCAACCCTCCTGAGGCCGAACACCGGAAGGATCGCAGCTTTACCACGTCCACCAGCTCTTGGCGAGTGTACTTGGACAACTACGACCTCTTGGAGAAGGTGGAAGCTACACAAATGGTCGATGCCGCGGGCTCCCTGGCTCCCGGAGTGCTTGCTTTGAGGCAGGAATACGAAAAATGGGAAGTGCCAAGGAATGAGAAGAAGTCCGTTGCCCGGTCGGTCAAGGCGGAGGTGCAAGGCGCAACTGTTGATGGTATCCAGGGTGTTGCTTACCCTAGGGAGAGCAAGCTGGCGAAATACTTCAGCTTGGCGCTGAGCCTTTGTGGTCAGAAGTTTGCGACTCAGAAACAGTGGCAGGTTGTTTGCGGTGGCTTGGTGTACTTTTCGATGTTCAGGCGACCCTTGCTGGGTAGCCTGAACTCAGTTTGGAGCCACATTGAGTCTTACAATTCGGGAGTTCGCAAGTGGAAACCCACGCCGCCGGAGGGTCCTGCGGTTTTTGGGGCTGTTGCCTTTAGCCCGTATGGATTTCAGGCTGGGTGTGAACCCCTATGTGACCTGCAGTGATGCATCTTCCACGGGAGGTGGGCTGTGCGTGAGCCGGTCACTTACTCCTTTTGGGAAGGTTGTTTCTCAGGGATGCCTGCGGGGTGAAATTCCAGAGAACCGGGTCGACGCTATGGTGCTGACAGTGGGTCTCTTCGATGGTCTGGGAGCTCTGAGGGTCGCTGCTGACGTAGTCGGAGTCCAGGTCATTGGACACATCTCGGTGGAGAAAGCACCTGCTGCTCGTCGAGTCGTGGAGGCGCATTACCCGGGAACTATTACCGTTGACATGGTGGAAGAGGTGGACGAGACTATGGTTAAGGGGTGGTCGGCGAAATTCAGCCAGTGTTCGCTGGTGCTTTTAGGGGCTGGACCCCCATGCCAGGGCGTCAGTGGACTCAACGCAGATCGGTTGGGTGCGCTCAGGGATGGGCGATCTTGCCTCTTCGCCCATGTGCCACGCATCCGGGACTTGCTGAAGAAGTTCTTTGCCTGGTGCCCTGTATATACCCTTATGGAGTCAGTCGCATCTATGGATGCCTCGGATCGAGACATCATGAGTGAGGCAGTCGGGATGAATCCTCTCTCCTGTACCGCCGGAACTCTTACTTGGTGCCAACGACCAAGGCTCTATTGGGTGGATTGGGAGATTGATGCAGAGTTTGTGCAACCCTCGGGGGATTCCTCCCCTGATAGGGTCATTCTCCAAGGGCAACAGGCCATCAGCCAGGTCACTCGAGCTGGATGGCTTAAAGTGGAGCCAAGGCAGCCATTTCCAACGTTCACCACCTCCAGGCCGCAAGAACGACCCGGTCGAAAGCCAGCTGGAATCAAGTCCTGTACTGCGGAAGAAATCAGCCGATGGCAGGCGGATCTTCACCGTTTTCCACCGTACCAGTATAAGGTCGAACATTGCCTAGTCAACCGGGCCAACCAGTTACGGGTACCCGACGTGAGCGAGCGTGAGCTCATGATGGGTTTTCCCCTCAACTACACCGCACCATGCGCTCCTAAAGGACAACGTAAAGGTGAAGCCTACAACGATCTTCGTCTCACACTACTGGGGAATTCATGGAGCGTACCGGTTGTCTCCTGGTTGCTCAGCCAACTTTTCGGGAGATTGGGGATCATCATGCCGCTCTCCGCCCAGCAGATTCTTGACTTCCTCACTCCAGGTGATCATCATCTGACGCAAGGACGATTGGTGCGGCTCCCTTTGAATCCTCCACGTGGGGAGGCCGGGGATCACATGGAAGAATTGGCATTCAAGATTGCGAACTTGGTGTCCATTAAGGGTGAAGACGTGGCACTTTGCACACCTTCGAGCCAGATGGCACGCTTCCATCGCCTCCGCGCAAGTGTTCCCTCAGGGCTGTGGCGCTGGTGCATTGTCGCCGGGTGGCAATGGATGGATGCGAGAGAGCATATAAACTCTCTTGAATTGCGAGCCATCTTAACTTCTCTCCGTTGGCGCATCGAGCATCAGTTGCACATCAAGACCCGATACATTCACCTGACTGATAGTCTGGTATGCCTTCACTGCATTTCCCGGGGACGTTCCAGTTCCCGTCGCCTTCGCCGCACAATGTCAAAGATTAATGCCTTGGTCCTGGCTTCGAGCTCTCAACCCGTGTGGGGTTATGCCCACACTGATCAGAATCCAGCCGACAAACCCAGTAGGTGGGGTCGGCGGGTTCGAACCAAGTTCAGGAATGCCAAATAAACGGATTCTTGAAGCTTCGGAGCCACAGGACCGGGCAGCACAGAGAAGGCGTTTAGGCACATTGAGGCAGTTGACAGTACAACCAGCGACGCGCAAACGGTATGACAAGGCTATCGATGGCTTCCTCATCTTCCTAAAAAATGAAGGGCAGGCCCTTCCTCGAGAGCGGGACCGTATGGACCCCCTCTTGTGTGATTACCTTGAACATCTTTGGGCTACAGGGGCAGGGCGTGCATTGGCGGCAGACACCCTTGCAGGAGTCCAAGACTTGCAGCCGAATTTGCGTACACGCTTACCGGGAGCCTGGCGGCTCCTTAAGACTTGGCATATAAATGAGATTCCAAACAGGGCACCGCCCCTGCCTGAACATGTGTTGCAGGCGATGGCCGGCTGGGCCTTTTTCAAAGGCCACTTTACGTTTGGTGTTTCCTTGTTGTTGGGTTTCTATACCATGCTTCGCACAGGAGAGCTGTTAGGGCTGCGTTCCTCTCATTTACTGTGTACAGGCAAACAACGCCAAGTTTTAATTTCCCTCGGTTTAACTAAGGGTGGTAAGCGACAAGGCGCAGCCGAGAGTGTCATTCTTGGATTTGCACCGGCTGTAAGTCTCGTGAAAGCCTGGATGAATGCAGTTTCATCTGCTACCCCTTTGGCAAAGAACCCTGCAAATTGGCGTAGTCTTTTCAATGAGGCGTTACTCGCCCTTCAATTGGAGAAGTTTGGATTTCGCCCCTATAGTCTGAGACGGGGAGGTGCTACCTTCTGGTTCACAAAGCATCACTCCTTGGATCGTATTTTAATCCAAGGCAGGTGGCAGGCGCAAAAGACCGCACGTATCTACCTGAATGAAGGCCTAGCTGTGCTGGCCGCTATGAAACTTCCACCGACCCACCCAGATATCCATCCCTACCTCGGTGTTTTTCAACAGACGGTCCTTAAACCGGACTTCCGAACACTTGAGCCTCCGGCCAAAGCCGGAAGGAAAGGGGGGATTGGAAGGAAGGGTAGACAGAGCAGAAAATCAAGCGTCAAAAACCGCTTGCTGTGAATCTTCTTTTTTCTGTGTGAAAGACTGATCAAAGAGTACACTGATTTTCTTGATCATCAATGGGGCCAGGAGGTTTGGCTCGGCTTCCCAGGTGACAGAATGCATTTTTCTGACCATGTCTGAGGTCTGGCCCGACTGGTTAGAGGATGTCCTTGAGATGGGATCAGATGTACTCTTTTTTGGTTTTGTTTTGGAGTTGTATTTCTTATTATTTTAAACATTTGCTGCGAAGTGAAACAAAAAGCAGTGGCTGCATCTTTGTATCTACGGCCCCGGTAGTTAAGATGCATAACGTACTGTTTTGTTTCCTCAGTGTTCAGTTCAAGCTCCCTTCCCATCCCGCCCGGGAGTCTTTACTCCTGTGGCTTCCTCCTGCTTTCGGGAGGAAGGAAGGGTAGACAGAGCAGAAAATCAAGCGTCAAAAACCGCTTGCTGTGAATCTTCTTTTTTCTGTGTGAAAGACTGATCAAAGAGTACACTGATTTTCTTGATCATCAATGGGGCCAGGAGGTTTGGCTCGGCTTCCCAGGCGACAGAATGCATTTTTCTGACCATGTCTGGGGTCTGGCCCGACTGGTTAGAGGATGTCCTTGAGATGGGATCAGATGTACTCTTTTTTGGTTTTGTTTTGGAGTTGTATTTCTTATTATTTTAAACATTTGCTGCGAAGTGAAACAAAAAGCAGTGGCTGCATCTTTATATATATATATACAATATATATATATATAATATATATATATATACAATATAATATATATATATATATTATATATTATATATATTATACACAATTATATTCCCATTATATACCAAATAAATCACTTTAATCATTATATTCCCATTATGTACCCAATAAATCACCATTTATGGTTCGTTTCCTCCCATCAACCAAAAAAATGCCCTTGGATTTATGGTTATATCCCAATGATATCCCGGACATCCCATCCCCCTAATACTAAGCACACCTCAGAAACCATGGGTTTAGCAGTGGATTTACATGTATTAGGAACCATTTAGGGTGTGATTCATATTAGGGGAAGGGATTATATGGGGATGGGTCAAAGCCGATTATCGCCATATTTGGGGGGAAAACATCCATTAGCCAACTATTATAGGATACCTAGAGTACCAGGGTTTTGCATCATAGTCACATCTCTAAGATCGGTACATATGGAGGTTTCCTGAAATGGGGGTACTATACCCTTAAATCATGCATTTCAATAAGATTTTCCACAAAAACCATCAATTTTGGAGTAACCCCTTTTTGGGAAAACCCTCATGTATATATTATATATATATATATGTAAGTATATATATATATAAGTGTGTGTATATATATATAAGTATATATATAAATATATATATAAGTATATATATACTTATATATATATACTTGTATATATACACAAGTAGATACATATATATATATAATATATTATATATATACTTATATTTATATATATAATATGTACTTATATATAAGTATATATATATATCCAGATAACTCCAATATCCCTATAATCTATGATATCCCCATGAATTTCCCTATGAACCATCCATCCACCATGGGATTTCTGGGTGAGGAATGCCACCAGCAGCAGCTTCAGCGCGGTGCCCATGCGCGCCACACACACAGCGGGAGGGCAGACTGATGCGGCCATGAGCCTCGGGAAGGTGCGCGATTGAGCTGGGGAAATCACCATAGAAAGATGAACATTTCACCTAGAACTGATAAAGATTGGGATTTCACCTCCAAAATTGGTGATAGAATATGATAAAACAATGGTTTCGAGGGATGCAAGTGTGGATTTGTGTGGTGAGATACTGGGATATGACCAGCAATTCTGGGGATATTCTATATGGATATGATGGAGAGATGTTTGGATATGATACTAAGTGGCCAGCAATATAGTGATTGAGTTTCTTTATGAAACTGTTGGAAATTTTCCAAGATCAGATATGGAAACATCAAAAGGATTCCAGCAATGGGAGGTTTCGGAGGATGGGGTTGAGGGGATAGTAGCCAAGTAATGATGGGCTTACTGTATATATATATATATAGGGATATCTACTGCGGAGGCATGATTACCACGTTGGACTAGATATAAGAACGGTAGTTTGATGATTGATGGTTAAATCTCTGAGGATACAAGTACGCTGATATGTATCTATCTGTCTGTCTGTCTGTCTGTTTGTCTGTCTGTATGTAGTGTAATGTCATGTGATGTGATGCAATGCAATGCAATGCAATGGTGCGATGTGGTGTGGTATGGCATGTATGTATGTCAGTAGCAACCCCCCCAAACAGATAGAAAGGTGATTTACCACGATTTTCGTGTGATTTTACGTTTCTATCGTTTTTTGATTGCCATGCCCTACTTTTTTCGATCTCCAACGGGGCAAACGGCGCCAAGCCCCCGTTCCTTCCGCCGGGTGCAAACGACCCGGAGGCCTTCATGAACTTCCTGAGGGGCGAAGTGGTCCCCTGCCAGCGCAAGGTCTATTTGAACGCCATTTGCTGCGCAGGTGGGAAGTCAGACGACGAGTCGTTGACGCTGTGGATGGTGCCCCAGGGAACGAAAAAACAACGATGATAAGTTGGTTTATAACTCACATAAAACATATAAAACTGTTGGGGTTCTATATATATATATCTATATCTGTATCTAATATCTATATCTAATATCTATGTACAAATGAGGAGTGTAAACCAACTTTCGAGGATTATCCCAGTGCAAGTGGTGAATCTTTTGGTGATCGTAAGCCCATTCTTTTTGGACCATCGTTGGAGTCGAACCTGGACCTAGTCATCCAAGAAACCGGGCAGAAACAAAGGTGTGTTGGTTGAGGGTTTGCCAGTTTTTCAATCCTATTTGGAGGTTTCCTAAAATGGGGTTATCCGAAATAAATCATCCATTTTATAGATGGATTGTCCATGAAATAAACCATCCTACGCGAGCTTGGGGTACGCCCATTTATGGAAAGCCCCATTTGAGACTTTGGGATAGCTGCGGATAGCTTGAATCCACCAGTCAGGCTGAAGAGCTGGCTCGAATTTGTGACATCCCTGGCCCAATATTCCACTGGAAACCATAGGAATTCAGATTTCTGATGATGTACCCTCTGGTAATTTAACATAGCTATTGGAAATGGCAATTTATAGTGAGTTTTCCCATTAAAAATGGTGATTTTCCATAGTTATGTTAGTTTACCAGAGGGTAGTCTGTTTTCAGACATCTCTGGCTCTGAAGTAGGCAAAGTCTGGATCTGAAAGGTGTCACATAAAAAAAAGACCGAACCGAACCTGACGTGCGGATTCGTGTTTGTTGCCGATACAAGATGTGGGTATGGCTCAAAATCACGAACCCCAGAAAACTGAAGGGTTCGTACTGAAGATGACCAATTGGTGACCCCTAAAAACATCTAAAAACCCTGTTTTTGGGTCGGCATCGCCATGTTCCGCCAGGAATGATCCTTGGTGGTCTCTTGGCGGGGTGACTTGGCATTCCCATCCTCCTATCCTCTTCATTTCACCAGGGTTTCAACATTTTTTTTTGGCATTTTGGGCTCTGAAAGTCCAGTGTTTTTCTATTTGTTGGTACATATCATCCTACATCATCCTACATCATCCTACATCATCCTACATCATCCTACATCATCCTACATCATCCTACATCATCCTGCTAGATCATCCTGCATCTCGAGATACGTTTTCTTCGCTTGTGCCGTTAAAGATACCCGTATCCCATCCCCTAGTATACAGGTTCGTTGCATCATGTTCCTGCTATCGGTTATCATAATTCCTCAATAAAGCAGGTAGTATAACACCCCATTTCATAACCAATCAACAATGCTATTTATGAATGACATTCTCATTATCTTTCATAGTCAACCCCCTCTAAAACCCGAAAACAATTGATGAGAAAAAACTCCCCATTTCATCACCAACGGCCTTCCAGGAAGACGCAGAAGAAGTACGGCTGCGTCGCCGCGCTCTTCCCCGCTGGTGCCCTGGCCTTCTCCGCCACCATCCTGCCGCGGATGATCGCGCCAGTGCCTGGGAATTTTCTGGGACTCCTGGGAGCACCAGAAGTTTGTGAAGTGATACACTAATTAGTCTGATTAACTATGTAGTCAATTATAATCAATTATATATATATATAGATATAGATATATGTGTACATTAGAATCATTAGATATATGTGTACATACACATATATCTATACACACAGCGTACCGATTGTCAGACAGCCTCAGAGGAACAGGAGCGCCGAGCTGTAGATCAGGCCGATCATGTTGCGTTTCACTTTCGCATGGCCATTATATTCCCAGTACTCTTGAGATACCAATTACCAACTTTTTTGATGTGACAGATTTTATACTATACTCTTGAGATTATACCAGAATAGGGTTGATTTTCGAATCCAACTGGGTTTGAATATTATTCCAACTACCATCATATAGCCATTATATTCCCATCCCCAGCTATTTTGACTTAGCTACTTGATCTTTCTTGATGTGCAAACCCAGGCCCTGACTGAGAATGGGCCGATCGAGGAGAAGAAGAAGTGATGAGATCCACCAGGTTCTAAGCTGTGATCCAGGTGGCGTCGGAAAAATGGGCAGAACGAGATACCCCAGGTACCCCCAATCTATGGGGTTTTGGGATTTGGGGAAAGTGATGAACTGGCGGATTTATGGTGTTCTGACGGTCTAGCCCTTTTTTTGACCACATTTTCAGCACCCAAAATACACGAAGCAATAGCCTCTGGGAATCTAACCTGGCGGGATCCGCATCAGCCACAGAATTTCTGCAGAAATTGCAGCCAGGTTAGAATGCCAGACAAACAACAGCCAGGAAGATGTTTACCACCAGCCCCCAGCACTGAAAAGACCCTCCCAATGATTTCAGCTGGTTTGGACATGGTGATTGTGCTCGTTGCAAGCTTGGTTTGTCCAAGCGGGGACTCCCCAACATTTTCCAAACTAGGCTCTTTTTGTGCAGGGAAATGGATGCTTACCGGCATCAACAGATTTATTGAAACATACCCAGGCGGTCCAAATCAGATGCCCCCGCATTGAACATCCGTATTTTTTTTGGGACCCATTCAACTGACATAGCTCTGGAAATCATGGTTCTTTGTTGAAAACTGATGTATACATTCATGATAGATGTTCCATACCCTTTTTGTTTACTGGCGGTACTTCAATCTTGACCCACACCCAAATGACACATCCACTATCCCTGTGACTTCAAAATCGCATCGAGTGCGGAGTTTTCCGCCCCAGAAGCTCTTCCCAGGGGCCCTGCTAGCTGTGGAGAAGGATCATCTTCAAAGCGTGAAGGAGTCACATAGAAATCATGGAACTTTCAATCTGTTGGGATTGAAAAACTCCCCAGTAAAGAATCAAATCCGATTCTTTTTTTGCGTGAACAATTCAAGAGGGAAACAGAGATGTTGGACACTAAAAACTTGACCTTCCAATCTATCCATTTTTTGTCTCATTGATCCTCCCTCCAGCCGCTAGCGGCGTGAGCGACATGCTCAGCGAAAACGTGTTGCCGTCCGGGCGAGGAACCGTTGGACCAGGCAGTGCAAAGCGCTGATCAGACTCGACCAACGATGCAATGAAAATGCTTCAACTGGTGGTTGCGCCTGGAAGAAATGGGCTGTCAATGCGACAATGGATCTCATGAGATATGCAACCAATCTGGCCGATGGGTATCTGTCTAGGGCAAAATGGCCACCAAAAAATACAAATGTAGACAGGTGAAGATGGACTTGAAGCGAGAGCAGCTTGGTTCAAGGGTCTGTGAAGATGATGAATGCGGAAGGAGGAACTGTGAGAAACCGATAGGCTTCAGGGTGCACAACTTGGAACAGCTGTAGACACCATCTATTTTGCAGGTACAGAACCATATACTCCTGGAAATACTGTCAAAGAAACCGACCCAATGAACCCAATCCGAGGTAATGGCAAAACGCGAAAAAAAACCTGTTTGAAATGTTGGGAACGCCTTAGAACCCTTTTTGGTTTTTGAACATCACAAGTTACCCATGTTGCCAGAAGTTACACCAGAAATGTTGTGCTTTCGCTTTGCCCCATGGTCGCGCCATCGCTGGCGCTGTGGATGGCTCCTGTTGGGGCTGGCGCTAACATGGAGCACCAATTTTGAGGTATTGCTCACTTGGGTTCGAAATTGGGGAGTTGGCAACAAAATAGCAATCAAATAAGAGGAAGAATGAGGAGTACCCACTGGATGGAAGCCTCAGTTTCCCCCCAAAAATGTTCAGAGCCACTTAGACTTGGAACCTCCAATATGATCATTTGCAATTGCATTTTGTGTTTCTTGATATTTTTGGGCGCTCGCAATAGGCCAGAAGGGTCAACATGGACCCCCTATTTCGGTTGCGAAGAAACATGGTGATATCAAACCAACAATGATGGGTGATGTTGACCAAAACGGCGGTGTAAAAAGCAACAAAAGATGACATGCAGATAACCACACTCCCCTCCCCGCGGTAAGAAAACAGAACCTAGAGACCTTGGTGGAGTGCATTGTGGTCTTGGCGTGTGGTTCTATCCATTTATGTCTGGTAATTGTAAAGTTCGACATCATTTGTGTAGGTCATCTTCCCGCTTTGATTCTTTGAACCTTTACCGTAAAAGCCAACAAAAAATGAAAAGTAGATTTTTACCTCCACTTCTTGGCATAGGATTTGACTTTTGACTTTTCTACTCTTTTTAATCATCTTTTTCACCTTTTCTACTTTTCATCTGAGCAACATTTTCGGTTCCAACCCCAACCCCAGCTGCTTCACCGTCACAGGCGCCGCCTGCCTTTCTGGCCGCGGAGAGCCGGGCTCTCCCACGGGTTCCGGGAACGGCGCTGCGGGGCGCTAGAGGAGCCGCTGGTGGAGGTCCCTTGGACTAGTCAGATATGGGGGTTTCGTACCCCAATAGCTGGATGGTTTTTTCCATGGACAATCCATCTATAAATGCATGAGAACTGGGGGTACCACCATGACTATGGAAACCTCCTCATGATATCTGTGGCTTTGATTTTCGAATGAATGATGATCCTGGAGGTCGTGCGAGGTGCCCCAACTTCTGGATGCTCATGGGACATTTTTTATGGGTCCATGGAGTCCATGGCTTCTCGAATTTTGGGTGCTATGCTTGTGACCCAGTCAATTTATCCATTTACCATCTCGTTGTTGAACGTGGCGCACTGGATTAATAATATATATATACATATATATATATATAAATGTATATATATGTATATATATATATATTAAGATATATATGTATATATATATTAAGATATATATTAATATATGAATATATTAATATTAATATATATATATATATATACATTGATAGGCAAATCAATGTAAATCAACTTTTTTGTCATCGATAAATGGGCCATGTATACCAAAGCTATGTTAAATAACCAGAGAGTACCATCACTTCAGGCGGAACGCTTGATGCGGGATCGCCTGCGTGACTTGGCCACAGAGGATGGAACTGGATGAAACATGTAACACATCTAACCCATGATGTATATATATATATGTATACAATACAGATCGATACGGTATATTTACACACAGACACACACACACATATATATAAATACACACATACTGTAATACATATCTGCAGGTCGCGACAACTACTTGCAGGTTTGGTGCTCCTTGGCACAGGACGGGGAACAGTTAAAATTTGGTGATGCAAATGGAGTCATTAAGATACCTTGAATACCCTCCGGCAATCAAACGCGGCAATGGAAAACCCCCTAGACATGAAGGTTTTCATGGGAAAATCATCTATCAATGAGGGATTTTCCAGCCAGCCATGTTTGATTACCGGAGGGTAGGCGTTAACCGGTATGACTTTCCAGTAATCAAAGGCTGGGAAATCGTCGATTCTCCGGCCAACTTGGACCAGAGGGCCACCATCTGTCCGCGAGGATCCTGCGCACGTTTCGCCTGGAAAAGGACGGCGTGTTTACGCCGTGGCAAGGCCAAAGATGCGGTCGTGGAAGCGTCCCTTGGAGAAGGGCATCGCGCGTCCGGTGATGGCTACATCAAGAGATATAGACTCTAATGTAGACTGATATAGATGTAAGTCGACTTAATATATGTTAATTAATGTTAATTATATTTAGATCCATGTTCTACACATATAGAGAGATGACCCAGTTCATACCTTGGATATGAACCGACATGGAGATAGAAGAAACAAATGATGATTGAGGAGGGGTTCAGTTCTGCCCTCCAACATGCTGATAACAGCAGAAGAAAACAAAGAGTCACGGCACACCGGCCACTGAAGACTTTGAAATCGCAAAGTTTGCCTATTTCATGTTGGGTCATTTGACCATGCAACACAATCAGGAACTCCACAGTTTTGTCAAGTATGGTAGATTGTTTCTACGTGGAGCTCCATTTGAACCGGTTTCAAGTGTTGTTACACCCCCTCTTCGTTACCTACATCTCCTTTCGGTTGTTTCGTAGTCATTTGATGACTCATATTTCTCTTGCATCATTGCATCCAAATCCCAATGTTATCAACGTTGAATCCATATGTTTTGTGGCGTAAATCCACATATTTCCTGGTTCATTGAAGCCCAACACATGTTTTGCTTGTTCGATCCATCTTTTCTTTGCTTAAAACTCTTGCTGGTTGAATCCATATTTTTCCTGCTGGAAAACACTGTCTAAAACCATATGAAAAGCACGTCTTTAATGATTAAATCCCTTCCAGGTTACAGTACATCCAGGTTACCATGTCAAAAAGTGTCTGGTGCGGCCGTGACGTGTCCTCTCCTGTTCATGGCTATTTGATCTGCTTAAGTCACCACCATTTTGCTGGTGACTTCCCCAACCATGTGATAAAAGTGAACCACAAAAAACACCAAAACCGCCCCATTTTGCGAGAGTCCGTAAAGTCTCACTGGAAAGGCTGGGTGAAGACTTCTTCAACCAGCTCCGCGCGCGCGTCGCGTCCTCGTCATCTGGGTCTTCGTCCTTGAGGCCGTTGATTGTGGCCATGGGAACGCGAGGAGACGTAGCACGCCTCAAAGTCAGAAGGGTCGGGTGTCAAGGTCGGTCCTTTGAGGGGGAATTGACCCCAAAAACATGGCCATTTCCATGTGGAAACTTACATGGGAAAATGATGATCATTTATTAATTGACTGGAACTTGGGGTTTACCTCTGAAAATAGGATTGTCCTCTAAAATTTGAGGATTCATCAGCATTGTCCTCTAAAATTTGCCTTTTTGGGGTTCTTTGCAAGATCTTGGGGCTGTCAAAAATCAAGACCTACAATAGGAGAACACAGATTTCTGGTTGGGTTCTCAATAATTGTTTTTAATAGCCAGTCTTTAACGATCAAAACTTTGCTTATTACAATCCAGTTTTGGGTTTTCCCAACAGCCCACCAGCTCCAGCCCAAGATTGGTGGATTTTGGATGACTCCTGTGGACTGGATAAGAAGCTTTGACAGAATTCTCCTTGAAGTCTACCCCAGATAAATAAACTCTATTGATTATATAATTAATAGGGGGTTCCCCCCAAAATAGGGATTTAATATATATATATATAAATCTAATCACTACAATAATTGGTACCCCAATTAGTAAACTGGAGCTATATCGATCCTGAGTTGACATTAAATGAACATGTGAAGATTTGACAATGAAACATGGGTATCGGTCAACCTGTAAAACCAGAAGAACGCAGATTTTGGCACTTTTTTCATTCGTTGGGGTAGCAGGAAATCTATGCACATGAACAAGACCAGACCTGATGATAAATTACATGCACACCAGAAGAAACACTCCTTCCACCTTCCGCAGTAATTCCTCCAATCGCTCGATGTATGAGATTCTTATCCCAAATCCCAACACTTCATCATCACCAAGATTGGTGATTTGAAGGATGTCCAGTTGGTGATTCAAAGGCTCTTGGAAGTTGTGTTGATGATCATTCCCTTGATGATTGGGTGATGTTCAACTGTGACATGGACCACCCGGAAGTACTTAGGTGGTCTTCATCCCCTTTTTGGTTGATTAGAACCCATGAATTTTTGTTTCACCTCTTCCTTTCTTTCTGCTCAACATATGTGTATGTATATATACACTACAATATCTCGCTATTTTTGTTAGTTTCATCATATCAGTTTTATTTCATACTCCCATCATGTTTATCGGAGACTTTGTCCCCAAGGCGGAGCCGGGCTTCCGTCTGGCTGCGGCGCTGAAGGAGCGAGGACATGAGCCTTTGGTGGTGTCTTGGCGATTTCAGGGTGGGTGTAGAGGATGATTTCAGCACAGGGGTTTCCACATGGGGGAGCCCCAAGCGAGCTTAGTGGATGGTTTACCCTCTGGTAAACTAACATAACTATGGAAAATCACCATTTTTAATGGGAAGACTCACTATAAATGGCCATTTTCCATAGCTATGTTAAATTACCAGAGGGTATTTCATGGAAATCCGAAAGTCACATGGATGATAACTGGGGTACCCCCATGACTTAGGAAACCACAAAATATCACCTGAGAACTGAGAATATGGGGCTGTTGGATATAAAAGGGGGATGGAATTAATGAAGTTACCCGGAAAGTGAGTCTTTTTCCGCTTTGGACAATTCTGAAGTGAAACATCTCTGTTCCAGACTGATGCATCTGATGCACTTGAGACTGGATCCAATAACCATCCTAGAATCCAGGTACCATATGAAACGCCACATGAACACCATATGAATTCATACAATCCATGCACAAAACAAGCAGTTTTCGGTGGCATCTTGCGAGGTTTCACTGGATGCATACAAAGAGGAAGCTGTGAAGAGGTGCCGTTGGTTGAGCATGACAGGGTATATTCCCAAAAGGTGGATGCCCAAAATACCTCGGAAAAGTGGAAATGAGGACACCATTATCTACTGTATACCATCAGTAGGAAATGCAATCGCTCAGTTTAACGTGTTTAGGAGTTCCAAAATGTCAGTGGCGAATAAGCCATGAGTCTCTGGTGAACATAAACATACATAAACTAATTTATCATGAATCTAAATGGGATATTATATTTTAGTAACTCTAAGTAGCCTATTTCAAATCGTTAAAATCCCCACTTTAGACTAAGTGCACTGCACATCCAAGTGCGACTGCCGTAAGCCCAGAGGGGAAGGTTTTGAAGCTGCCCGTCTCCCCCAATTTTACCAGTCACCCCTGCACTAGAGACCACGTCAACGGATAGCTTGGGAGAGCCAATTTAATCTCCAAGTTTTTTCCGGCAAAACATATGTTTACCCCATTTGCCCTAGATATTCCCTAGATTTTCCCTTCAGCTTCCAGAGGTTTTGGTCCATCCCTTGTTTTTTTTGCCAGGTGGAACTTAGATTTTCGCTCCTGCGGCCTTGAACGGGTGCCGTTGTCGGAGGACTGCTAGGATGATGCATACACGTTTAGACACACACACACACCATAAATCGTAGACATATATATATATTATTTATGTGTATATATATACACATATTATATTTCATATCACATATTTTTCAATAGCTCTTACATGTGTAGAGCTGGAGTAAGAACTCTTGAGGAAAGCTGTCGATCATTCCAGTGGGGAAGATGGACCCCAAATGCACCAAATGAAGCCCGTCCCATGCGCAGATGCGCAGTGGAGAACAACGAGGATATGACCGCCCGATTTCTGGGAGAGAGGTCGGATAGGTTAATCTTCACCTGAAATGAATGGTTTACTGTAAAGTTTACCCTCTGGTAAACTGTCACATAACTATGGAAAGATCCACCATTTTCAATGGGTAAATCCACTATTTCGACTGGGCCATTTTCAATAGCAAACTGTTAGTTTACCAGAGGGTACTGTAATAAATACAAAAATTACTAGCTAGCGAACGATCCTCCATGGGACTGCAGATCAATTTTTCATCAATCACCGTCTTTTGGGCGGTCGATTGGGTCCAAGAGAAGCCAGCACATCAATCCGTTGGGACCCCGTCAAATTACCCTCTTGGTGTTCACTATGGAAAATCACAATTTTCAATAGGTAAATCACTTTAAATCCATGTATAAATTGGCAATTTCCCCTAGCTATGTGAAATAACCAGAGGATACATTTGCAGTTTCAACACATTATACAATCATTAGGCTAGACCCCCGACCCAAGGCTAAGTTCATTTTCCCAAAATCTGCATCTCTCGGAATTTGAGAAAGCGTACCCTCTGGTAATCAAACGTGGTTTGCTAGAAAATCCCCCTTTGTAGACGATTTTCCCATTAGCACCATTTGGATTCTTTTTTTCGGAAGATTTCCCAGCTAGCCATGTTTGATTGGTATCTCCCCTGCCGATGGTATCTGCAGGAGTACCTGACAGGTCAGACTCGCGCTGACCAGGTGTATTCGGATCGAGGTTGGTATGGGGATGCCTGGACCATGGTGGGTCTCTTGGTGCGACGATCAAATCGTTGGAACTCATGGGTTGCCGTGGCGGATCAACACCTATGATATCAGAAACCACAAAATTTGGGAGAACAGCAGGGTTTCTTTGCGTTTGACGCATATCCAATGGTATTTTATGATGATTTTCAATCACAATTCACAATGCCTATTTTTCGTGGCTCATTCCGACGTTGGCGTGCGCTGAGTTTCAGGCCACGTACTACGAAGAAATCCGGCATCTCATCTCACCCTCCAAACCTCCAGTTTTCCAGCTATTTTTCTCCAACTCCATGCAGTTTTTCAACAATTTTTTCCACCAATTTCCAACATCTTAGATCTTCCACATCATGGATTTCCGAAAGATCCCAGATGAATTTTCCCACCATCCCCACCATCCCCAGGTGAACGTCTGCACCAAGCCGCGCTGGAGCATCGTTGCGACCTCATCGTGACCACCTCCATGGGCAACACCCACTGCCTCGACGTGGCCGAGCAGCTGAACCTGCTGTGCATCGCGCTGAAGTTCTGTCGCTGAGCGATGAGAAAAACAAAGGGGTCCCCGCTGGGTGCAACGGGTGCAACGCTGCGATGTAGAACTTGGAACTCCAAGTGCAACGAGGAGTTGATGATTTGGTGAAATTTGTCCATATGATGATGATTTTTGGGGTGGATATAGCCCATGTTGGAACAGTGGTTGGGATCCACCCATGCTTTTTGTGGACTTTCTTTACCCAACTGGACAAGGTGAATCAAGGTGGTGAAGGATGGGGCAGATGTGACCGGTGGAACTTAGGACCTCTTGCAGGATGATGAATCCCCACTGAATGGAATGGTGAGTCGTTTTTTTGGTGAAGAGAGAACCCCAGTGTCCGCGGTGAATGCATTTCCGGGTGAAACTATGAATTTCCAAGTGCCGCGTAGGTTTCAAAGAGGATTGCTGGGTTGAACAAAAGGGCTTGAAACCTTTTTGATCACAAAAGGTAGCATGAGCTGATTGTTCCGTGCTTTAGCACATTTTCCTTTTCGGGGCAGAAGAATAACTACAGATATTCCACCACCTTTCCCAATCATATTAAACAATATTCTGTACATCCACCAATGTTTGGAACCCAAAATGAGTAGTAGATCCTGTAATAACTCCGCGTTTTAAGGGACGTATTTAGTTCTTGGGGCCTGGGATTACAGTTTGAACCCTGACCGCGCATCTGAAGGCCCCGACATTGACGGTCAAGTGCCGACGGGCGACTTTCCACCCTCTGGTGACGTGGCTGGGTTTTTCTTTCGGGGTGTCGTTGATCCACGGGGCAGTGACCAAAAATCCTACGTTGATTAGGTTATTTGAGCAGTTTCAAAAAGCCCAGTTAGGTGATGATTCTGATATACTTAATACGGATATAATGGGGATATGATTGGGATGTACTGATGTAATTTGATTGATTAGTGAATTGAATATCTCCAATGATATATCATATCCCATTGAATTTTCCCCTTTTTTTATAATCCGTAACAGATCTTCCCAGATCCCGAGGCTATCCGTCCTTACCCGGACCCCTCAACTACTTGCAGCACCTGCTGGAGAATTCGCGGACGGTGGCGGCCGTGTTCCGTGGTGGCTACATCCCCAAAGTCATCGACTTCCGCACCAAACTGGGCATGGAATCCATGGAGATCCCCGGCGTCGGAGCGATGCTTGGTCCGCACCAAGGGGATGGTTCCGTTGATCTTGGATCCAATCCATGGATAGAAACATGCCCAAAGGTGTGTGGAGCAGCTGTTTTTGGATGCTGTTGGTGATACATTCATTGCTTTTTGGTTCTAGGGATATCTCTTCTTTCTTGATGATGATATATGATGATACAGTATATGTTCCTCATATTCCAAAATCCAGTTTGGAGTGTTTGCGAATCCCTCCCCCCTAACATTCAGTCCCCCCAGATGAACATCAGAATGTTTCGGACTATGCAGCTATTGGGGTCCCACAAAATCGGTGTACTGTATTTGAATGTATTCGACACATACAGTATGCCATTATATACCATGATATACCATGATATACATTTATATACCATTGTACACCATTACATACAATTATATAGCATTGTATCCCTGTTATATCCCCACTAAATGGTTATCACGCAACCATCATTTGTCATCTTGGGGATGGCTAATCATCACCAGTTTCTCTCTGGTAAACTAGCATGGATGTGGGGAGAACCCCTGCCATTTGCAGATCATTTTCTACGAAAACCCTTGATTTTCCACATCCATTATCTATGTTCGTTTACCCCAGGCTAAATCCCCCTAAATACTTATCATCTATCATTCATTGCCATTTTTCATAGATCCCCACAATAACAGTGTCGTGAAGCCACATTATACTCATCATCTACCCTCTGGTAAACTAACATAGCTATGGAAAATCACCATTTTTAATGGGAAAATCCACTATAAATGGCCATCTTCAATAGCTTTTTGTATGTTTACCAGAGGGTATCATTCACTACCCTTAGGACATCGGCTGGATCAAGCCTAAATGGCGGCCCCGGCAGGAAGGTTCCCACATACTCGGAGCTCCGGCAGAAGCAACAGGCGAACCAGCCCAGTCTGTACGCCTTTAGCGATGCATTGGCGAATCGCCCCCAGGACATGGGCCGAAAGGGCCAGCAGGTGGGTTGCATGGGCACCCCAGATGCACCCCCTACTTGGAGGATCCCACTTCAAACCAGGATCGCCCAGGGGACTTACGAACCCAACGGTCGGGTTACGAAGCAGTTGCAATGAGAAAATCCTCCAAGTAGATAGCTAAGTTGACGCACATAACTTGGGGAATTGTTATTGGTTTTATGGGGTATCTTCAGTATTCATGGGGTTCACAAAAATGGGTGGTCAGGATCTACAGGGGACCACATATTTTGGTCATTTTTGGTCCATGTTTAGTAGTAACCATTCCACTTTGGGGAACCAACCATTTTTGACCCGGCCCATACTCGTATTCCTTGTTTTTTTTTGTGAATCAGACTTGAAGATTTCAGCTCTTTATTGATCAAATTAACCTTCCCTTCTACCTGGTGAAGCAACCCTGATAGGTATAAGATGGTATAGGTATAGGTTGATTTTCAATCAATGACTGAGATGATTTGTTGCCAACGGAAACTCGACCAGAGGAGTATCAGTCCTGGCACTTCGTCACCGGCTCCTTTTCTGCCAATGAAAGCAGAGATGTAGAGCTACCAGGTTGGACTGGGATGGCCTTTTTCATTGTCATAGCACCATGATGCCATGGGAATCCCAGAAAATGCCAGCGACTCATTTTACAAAAAGGGTGGATTAGCACAACTTTTTTTTGGTGGGTGAGTCGTGAGTCGTTTGACTTTCAGGGTATTCTGGACTAGGTTCATTTTTTGGGCATCACCGATGGAGCCCATGGATGATATGGATGAATTTGTAATTTTTCAAGCGGAAAGAGCCCAATTTTTGGGTGCCACAATTATTGACTTATTCCCAGTTCTATTGACTGGACCGATGTTTTTGAGGAACATGCCATTTCCTAGAGGGGAAACCACCATTTAAACCGCCATTTTTTCATCGCCTGAAAAAGATAATCCCAGTTGGTAAAGGGTTCTTACCCCTGAAAAATCCGAACACTCTGCAAAGAATTTTGGGATGATCATCCCAATTCAAGTTTGGGTCTTTATTCCCATGATATTCCCCTTAAGCTCCCATCGTATTCCCATTAGATTCATCTCCTTCATATCCCCATTCCATGAAATACCCATTACATTCCCATCAACTTTATCCCCATCAAATATTCCCATCATATTCCCAATGAAATCATGAAAACCCCCATCACTTTTCATTTCAAATTATATATATATATACATATATATATATATATTTATTCCTACATACATGAAACATCTCCATGAAATCCCTCCAAATCTCCAATCTCGCCGTGGGCGAAGGTGTCCTGAGAGACTTCCTGGCGTCTTCGCCGGTTTGCATCGCCTTCGGCTCCATCAGCCTGGCGCGCGGCGACGACGACAGCTCCGGCGGTTCCGGCGGCGCGCCCTTCCAGCGCCGGGCGCTGGCGGCGGCGCGGCGCCAGGAGCTGCCCGTGCTGGTGGTGGATCCGGAGGTGGAGGTGGAAGGACTGGGATGGGCCCAAAAAACCCATGAAATCCATGGAATTTTCATGGGGAATTCATGGGAAATTCATGGGAGAATGAGGGATACAATGGGATAAAATGGTAAATCATGGGTAAATCCCGATGAAATCATTGGTAAAGAGGCCATAGAAATAGATGATTGAGCTATTAAGAATGGTGATTTCCCATAGCTATGTTGGTTTACTGGATGGTAAATCAGACGTGGAATCCCGGAACTAAACAGCAGGAAAATCAACTATAAATGATTATAAATGGTGGATTTTCCATTGCCCGGTTGGATTATGGATCTATGACCATCCTCGGGTCGGATGAGATTTGGTTCACAGAAGTTTGCTGGGGGTGAGGTGAAGCGCCAAGATTTGTGGGCAGATGATCTCATCTACCAACATCTGATGTGGACAAAAATGGGAACCTAAAGGAACCCCATTCCAGTCCATGGTTTGTCATCATTTGTTCCTATTTCAAGTGTCCATAAAGTTGGGACCATCCACCATTTCGTGACAGACCTAAATCGCCAATTAACATTTGGTTGAGATGGGTATGGGTCAATAAATAAATTGTCCCCTAGTAATTGTATAGTATAGATGGTTAGTATTAAAAGTGCACTAAGTGCACTAAGCATACCAATAATTAGATGGTGAATGATAAAAAATAGCAACCATAAACCAACCAACCTTCCGATCGACGCAGGACCGGATGCAGACGACCCTGGCGTTTTCCGTTTGCGCTCTGCACCCTACAGCGCCTGGGCTGAGGGGATAAATCCAGAACGCGGATTTGGGAGTTGAAAAAGATGGTTTTGGACATCCCATTTCAATTTTCAACTGTTGGTAAGTCACCATTTTTGCGAAGCCACGCTTTTTCATAGGAAAAACCATTTTTCCTGGTGAAACCATCATTTCTGCCGGTTCAGCCACCATTTTTTGCTGGTTCAAGCGCCATTTTTCTTGGTGAAACCGTCAGGTTTTGGATGGTTCACCCCAAGGATCTCCCCCATGCAGGCGCGCTGTTCCCCCGCTGCCGCCTGGTGGTGCACCACGGCGGCGCCGGCACAGCGCAGGACGCGGTGCGCGCAGAGTGTCCGCAGCTGGTGGCGCCGGTGCTGGCGTGGTCGGATCAACCGTTTTGGGCCAGGGAAGTGGAGGAAAGGAAGCTCGGTTGAGTTGTGATCTCCAGTACGATTATAATATTCTTCAAGTTCTCAATATGGTTAGATAATGTCAATTATGGGTTATGGGTTATGATATAGACAGGATGTGGTTAAACATAGGATGCTTGGGATTACAGGACGATCATTACGGAATTCTCATCGGATTAGCATCATCATGGTAAGCTCGGTTGGGTTATGGTTATGATGTGGATGGGATTATCATGAAATATCTCGGGATATATAACATGATATGGTTAAACACGTTGGGATTATCATTATGGAATTGTCATCATTGGGATTATGTATCACCATGATTGGATGAGGTTGAGCATTCAACAGATTGGAATTATTGGGATTACTGCGGGATCATGATTATGGGAATATATATCATTGTAGAGCTTCGCACACCGGGGACGCCATAAGGGTTATGTTGGTTGTGCGAGTGTTGGTGTTGTTCATCGCGCACGCAGACCTTACATACCGCAGCTTGTGATCATCTTACCACATATCTTTTTGTCGCATTTTGGTGTGCCCCTAAAATCGTCAAATAGGTCAGGTTGCTTTTTTTTGAGACTCTCGGAGCACAAGACATCGTAAATCGTGATGTGTTTGGCGCCTCGGAAGCCAAGAACCACGGTATTTACGATGTTTTGTGCCACTGGGAACAAATTCCACGGTATTTGCCGGGGTTTTGAAACATCACCTAGCAAAAACACCAGTATTTACGCGATTTTCAGCATGTTTCAAGAAGTAGTTTTTATATGCAAAAAGCACAAACACATTGTACATCATGAGGTTGTTGATTCCTGAGCGCAGCAAACAAATCGGCCAAAAATGGCCAAAACACGCTCCAAAACAGGCCTCCGGAAGCATTCTAATTTTTTTTGGTTCCAGCTCCGGGCCTTCCAAAACCAACCTGGCGCCCTCGGGTATTTAAAGCTAGCTGCAGGCTTACTTCAACGTACCGCGTCGCCGCTTTTTTTGTTCCAAAAAACGGGGGACCAAAATTGTGGGATTTTGAAGCTGGGGTATTTGGCAACAGGGGTTCTTCAGAAGTGATCTTCCGCAAAGCCCCTTTTGTCTCAAGAGAGAAGACAGCTCCTTCTCAATAGATGGCCTCCACTCCTCAATGGATCGACGCACCTCCGCTTGTGACACAATGCGTGTCTGAAGCACCTCCTCTCCCTTTTCTGGACCTATCAATTCCTTCACCACAGCTATGGAGTCCAAAGAAAATACCTGCAACCTCCTCATCATCACTCATGGCCTCTACCATATCTTCCTCCACCAATCGTTGGACACGCTGCTTTCTGGCCCAAACATCTTCACCTTCATCCTCAAAACTGGGCAGTTGAGATCTGCCTTCCTCCTTCTGACTTTCTTCTGCTTCGGCTGCATCCTCAACTTCCAGCATGTAGATGGACGCCTTATGCCGAATCCTTCTCCTTTCTTCGATTGGGTTAAGGGCATCCTCCACTCCAATCCAACCCTCAATCTTTGGCGGCTCGCTCAAGCCATGCATGACCATTTTTGTCAATGCCTGAGTTCCATCTGCCCTCTCAATCCAGTGTCCATGATGAACCCAGGATGAGCAAAGATATCTGACAGACTCCTGAGTGGGTTTTAGCTCTCGAGATCTCCAAATCCTTTTCCCAAGAATGGCGGTGACTTCTTTTCCTTGTCCACCTGCTTCTGCCTCAATTTCTCGTTGATGAAGCGAGCAGCTATTGGCCAGCGTTCAAATGGAGCTCTTGAGCCATGAAGAGTTCGCCTGATGGCGGCTTTGAGGTGTTGAACGGTGGCTTCAGGCCGCCCATTCATTTGGGGATGATCCCCGGGTGTATACGTCTGGAGGATCGTGTGGGACATGCACCACTTCTCAAGCGACTTTGATCGGAACTCAGCCCCTCTGTCGCTATGCAATTGGGTCACTATATGCCCGTCAGCCCTCAGCCGCATGTACATGTTGATGATCGCTCGCAGCACGTCCTCTTGGCTTCGAGAGGCAAGTGGCTCGCAGAGCTTGGTGACTTCAATCCTCATTTCTCTTCTTTCTTCGATCTCTTCTTGCGGATCATCCTTCGGATTTTCTTTCTGATCTTCCTTAGGCTGACCTTCTGATTCTACAACTTGATCTTCATCTTCAGCGTCTGGGTCATCAATCTCAGGCGCATCATCTGGAACTTCTGGTATTTCCTCTTCCTCTCCATCCTGCTTTCTGGCGGGCCGAGTGAAGGAGGCGACAAGGAGATATTTCGCCTTCTTCTTCTGCAGATCAGGGGTTGCTTTGAAAGGTTCTGATATGTCCACGCTCAGAACGCCAGCCTTTGGTGGGAGCTTCTGGCACCTGTGGTGCGCATCAAGCGCACATGCTTCTTGACAGGTTCTGAAATCCCGTCTGACAGGGGTGTGTCCAGCTGCTATGTGCTCTTGCCATGAGACTGCACGCATCTTGACTTCTGCTCCCAAGGTGCATGTTATCGACCTCATCATCACGGGTTGCCACCGAGACAACTTCTTGGACGACTCGCAAATCTCAAGCTTGGTCATACTAGAAATGTCACGTGGCTGACCCTTCTTTCCTGGAAGTGGTACTTAAAAAAGGTAGATTTCCTCCGATGGCTGTGGGTTTAGCGGCAATGGCTCCAAACTCAGACTGATCGAACCGTTGCATCTGCAGCTCATAGATGTTTGCCAAGCTCTTCCATTGGGGTGTCCCCCATATTGACACTACTTCTGGTTTGTGCTCTGGAGCAGCTGGTTGCTCCAAGATCAGCGTGGTCGGGACATCCAATCCAGAAGCTCGACGCACCGTTTCAGAAACGATGTAGAGCAACAGAAATCGCATCAGCAGGGTGTCATCCATGTTGACCTGGGCCTTCTCAAAATTGGACAAACCCTCAATGCCAAATTCTCCTCCGTCCCAATTCCGTAGAGGCGTCGGCATTGATTCACCTGGAACTTCAAGATGCCTAAGAAACGATCTGGTTCTACGCGGGGACCCAGCTATCCATGCCCTCACCCATCCATCCAAGGCTGCTCTCAGCAAAAGTGGATACGCTTCGCCCTCAGGTGACAAATCAGCAGTGGGCTTGTCATGGGTGATGTCGAACTCATGCAGCAACCGACGATCATCACCAATTTCATGAAATGCTCTTCCCAAAGTGTATCCTGCGTTTTCACCTGAGAAAGCATGAATCATCATTCCCTTCGCCTTCCATACCTTTCTCCTCCGCCTATTTCCAAGTGGAATGAGGTTTGGCTCAGGCATCTCCACCAAGTTCCTTTTGACCTCCTCCGGAACTCCTTGGAAAACTGGATGTTCATCTACCAGTCTCTTCAACCATGCCACTTCTGAATCTTCTTCAGCCTTCAAGCCCTTGACATCCTTCACAGCCTTTGCCTCGATCTCTTCAATGAGCTTCATGGCCACATTCTGCAACACCATTGGGCATCCGCTTTTGACGGTCACATCGATCTTGCCATCCACAGGGTGAATGGCCTGCAGGCCATCCGGCTTCCAGGAAATTTCATATCCAAGGATTGCTGTCAGGAGTCCCATCGGCACAACGGGTTCTGTTCCTTCCTCACCCACTATCACACCAGTTCTCCCCAGAGTCCAGCAAGCCCTTGTTGACCATGGGACACAACTTGGAAATTCGAAATGGTCGCATTGAAGCCTTCTTGAGCTGATCCAACTGTTTCTGCAAGCCCAAGATCTTCTGCTCTGCATCTTCTCCTTTCTGTCTCCTCTCCTTTGCTTCTCCTTCATTCATTGACTTGAGCATGCGGCTAGCCTCATCTATCAAAGCTTTCATGCTCTCATCTCCCCCAGACCCAGCGGCTTTGGACTGCTCCTCAGACTTCTCTGGTGAAGATGTCGGCGACTTGACATCCTTGTCAGCGCTCTTGGTGCCTAACTTAGCGGCACGTGGCTTCTGGTCTTCCATAGTGGGACATGTAGTGGCCATATGGTCTTTGCCATCGCAGGTCCAGCATTGCTTGTTTCCATCCAACAAATGTCCAAAGGGGCATGCACGGCCTCTACTGCAACCTGAGTCTGTGAGAAAAAGCCGGCATGGCTTCTTCTTTGCTTCAACTCCTTCTTGAGGTTTCCCTTTCGGCCTCACCTTTTGGCATTCGAGGTTTCCTCAAACTTTCGCACCTTTGTCTGGCCTTCTGCTACCATCTCCTTCTTCTTGGTCTGCTGACCTATCTGTTCCAGTTCTGCAAGAAGATGTTCACTGTACTGCGTCACAGTGTCCAGTGTTGGGACGGTGTCCACCAGGAGTGAGCTTTTGACCAGCGAAAGGCGAAAGCTGAGATCGGGGTAGTTGAGGACAATGCGCTTGCCCCCCCTGAACCCCTTCATGAGAATGGAGCTATCTGGAATGGAAACTCCAACTTCCAATGCCCTCCTTTTCCACCTCCGCAGCTGCACTATTGCCGATGCCACTGAAGATGCCTCGGCTGGTGCTTGGAGTGCAGAGAGGATTGCGCTCCGCTCTGTCAGTCCACCAGGTTGAGATTATTGCAGCATTGCTCGCGTCAGGGACCGCTGCCCCGTCCTGAATCTTTCTGTCTTGCCGGGCTGCTGCCCCGTCCTCCACATAGAGAATTTCTGCAGACTTCTCTTCAGGAGTTCCATGGCTTGAAGATTCCTTCTTCTCCAAAGCTGCCATCAACTCTTGACGCTCTTGACGAAGTCTTTGATTTTCTGTTTGTGAAGCTCGCAACTGAACCCCTAACTGCTCTAAGGTGTGTTCAAATTGCATCCTCCACATGTAATCCCTTTGCCTTGCCTCATGTTCACCTTGTGCTGAACCTAGTGATTGGATAAGTCCTGCCACCCAAACTGGAAGTCCTTGTCTTTCTGCTCTCCCGTGACCAAGTTCGCCAGTCATTGGTCCAGGCCAAGTTGAAGAAGGCGTGGCAAATGGTGGTTGATGGATTTCTTGAAGTCTCGCTGATTGCTCAGGTGAAAGAGCGGCAACATGCTCTGGACCCGTCCCTCTGGAGTCACAAAGGATTGGGGACCTAGTGAAACTGGCGGTCCAGCTGGTGATACTAACATGTCCTTCTTCTCAACCTCCTGAACATCACGACCTTTCAAACTCCTATCTTCACCACCATGTGATGCCGGTGTTCTCTGTGAACCTCGTGCTATTGCCTCTTCAGACCTCTGAACTTGACTACGTGACTCTGTAGGTGCACTGGATGGTTTCTTGGCTGAACCCTTTTGTTTCCCTTCCATACTCCCTTCTGGAGTTCTCAGAGCTAAGGCTTGAGAGGCTGGCACCATTTCTTGGCCTACCAGTGCCAATGGTTGTTCAGGCACAGATTTCAACACTGCCCGACTTGCCTCTGCTCCTCCTTCATGATACCATCTGCATGCTGCCCGCTGCGCCATCAACCGCTATGCTGCCCGCTGCGCCATCAGCCGCTGCACTGCCAGCTGCGCCATCAGCCGCTGCACTGCCAGCTGCGCCATCAGCTCGCTCAGCATCGACGCCATGATTGCCCGACGCCATGATTGCCAGCAGCCACAGCAGCACCGTTGGCACCATCTTGCTCAGCCGGTGCGCTGCTCTCCATGGCACCTTCTCTGCGCCTACGCATCAAGTCAGTAGTCATTGGGATTTTGAACAGGCTCTTTGGGCTCATAGCCTACGTTTTCCCCAAAATGCAACCCTTGA